AGGATCCACGATAGTTGTTTGAACGATTATCTTCGAATGTTGCCAAATCAGCACTCATAAGGAGATCAAGATCACTGTCACCATCATCAACTGTGGAATCTATCGAAATTATTTGCATAAATGTATTCTCATCTTCTAGGTGCAGTTACATTTTGAGAAATTTTCAATACTTTTGATAACAAATATGTTTGTGTTCCCAATCAAGTGCATTCTTATCGAATCGATGATTGTCGTTATGTAGAGAGAAAAGAACACGTAGATACTGCATAAACAGTACTCATACTGAATATGTAAAAAACAAAACAATACAGAAAAGGATAAATAGAAACAACATAACAATTCTCATTCCAAGACAATGAACGAATAGATCAAGAGAAGAAGAACATTGATTAAACAAAAAAAAACTAAAATAAAATGAAAATTTCACATAATACACAAATCAAAGAGTCGTGAAACTGGGGAAACTTTGACCTATAGTTGAAAGTTCATCTAACGAAAAATGAAGTAAAAACATTTTTCATACTGTTTTAGTCTACTGACGACACAGTGATCTTTTTCCAATTGATAGTTTTTCAGGCTTTGATACTATTTATCCATTAAAAAGGTACTCAATGAGGACCCAATACAGATTATTGTGCTGCACTATATCTGAATCAACAGATCAATAGTCTGCATTAGCATAGAAATTATAATAGTATTATAGGAGAGATACGAGAAATACACATGTCGACGAATAATTCTTTCCAAAACACGATAAGTTTCTTTATTAGTACCAAAAAACTCTTTCTACTTATGTTGGTGACAATTTCAAACGAATATTATGACTAACATTGTTTATGAGCTGATACAAGGTGGTTGACTTTTTCTTGCTATATATTTTTAACTCAAAAAAAGTGGATAATTCTGTAGTCATAATATAATATTGCTTTAACCAAAACAAAATGATACAAACGAAAGAAACAGTGAGAAAATTTACTAAGCTTTCTACAATGAAAAGAAAATCTAACTGAAAGAATTTTTTATAGGAAATAATGTCTATGAATTGACTTGATAAAAATTGCATCTTTCAGGTAGAGTCGTGTGAGAATAAAGTTTTTTAACTTATTTCCATTGCTGATATAGAAATACCGTTTGTACATGCACATCAACATTGCCTTTCCGATCAAAAGGTGGAATATTTAGATGTTGTAAGACAATTTTCAGTCCAGCAGATGCAAATGTGAAAGTACGATTTCCATCATCATGCATTTGTTCTGACGATAAACCTTGTTTAAAATAGGAGGCTGGAATATCTAATACTTGTAAACTACAGCGTTTTGTATGTCATTTGAAGGAAGTGCACTTTTCTGCTCTGGAGTACGCTAATGTCTATCAATACGAGAATAGTCTTTAACATAGTCAGATCCTGGCGAAGATGTTTACGTGGATGGATCAGAAACTTACCCTCTCGGATGACTTGAATTTATATTTTCATGTGGTATTTGATTCTGAGACTCATTAAATATGTTTCCACCATCAGTTGGTTATGTATTCGTATATGGTTTTTACATCTCCCATGGTGAATGCATTCTTTTTATATTGCTCTAACTTTTTCCTATCGCGAGCTTGGTTAGCAAGATTTACCTTATTACTACTAATTTTATTAACCGTATTTACTCTTCATTTGTTGGCATTTTTACCTATTTGTTAGTCAATAACATTATTAGGCTTATGATATTCTACTTCTATCAGTTCACTACCTTTATCTGCAGCAATAATACGTACCAGAGATCGAAACCGAGTCGAGTTTGACTCAAGCAACTCGGCTGTTTAAAAAGTTTTCAACGATTCTTTTGACAGTTTCTGAGCATTGGGTGTTACTATCATTTAGTGAATCGATACGATACAATATTAACTCACAGCAGTGAATTATCCGAGGAAAGTAATACGATAAATAAGCGGTCATGAGCTGATGACGGCGGATAAGTCATAATGAATGACCTATACAAACTTCCATTGTTGCCGATGAATTAGTCTATTTAGAGATTAATTAGACCACGATGAATTGACCGATCACGAACAAATATAAGGAGTCAATACGCTACACGAGACGGAATCATTGTTTTGTCATCTTCGCAAAGTATCATTTTTCAAACATATTTTGTTACGAGTTTCAATCACTCATTCTTCGAGCATGTCGATCGATTTAACCGATGACACATCAATACCACATGAGTCCAACGCGTCCTCGTCTGTTTCATATCCTACAAAGACACCATCTTTATCTACACCGATGACATACACGTTATCTGAGTCGGTACTCGGTTACTCGACTCGACTCGAGTCGAGTGCGATTTTTAAAAATATGTGTCGAGTCGAGTCGAATCGAATAAGGACTGAAGTTGAACCGAGTCGAGTCGAGTGGAATATTTTTTCACTCGTTTCGGTCTATGATACGTACAACTCGTCCTTTTTCATCTAAAACTTTTATCAGTCTTCCTATAGCATCATTTGCTGGTCCTAAGTGAGGTAATTTAGCTTCTTCATTATTTTTTAAATCATCTTTCATCATATATTCCTTCACTACAGCTTCTGGATCTTTCATTCCTTCCTTAAATTCTTTTGGTATCCCATTAGGGTGTGGGTGTGGGGTGTGAGTGTGCGGTGAGTGCGGGTGTGGGAGGGTTCTTTCTTTCACCACACCAACATCCATACCCACACCCACACCCACACCCAGACCCACACCCACACCCACCCACACCCCACACCCACCCACACCCTATTTTCAGCCGTCTCTCCCTTGTTTTCGGGGTTCGTTGCGCATTCATGCATACGAACAATCTCCTATATATTTGAACTTTGACGATTTATTTATTCTTGAATCGTCTATCGGCTTGTCCACGTAACGCGCTACTTCAGACATCGAGTTTTTACTTTCGAATTTGAGATAAATATTTTTACCATGTTGTCAAGCATAGTCGAAACCGAGAGAAAATATGTTTTTTTACTCACGTTCGCATTTGCGTATATTTGAAAAACTCCACTCAACAAAGTCTAATTTATTATATTGTCAAATACATATTTTCCTGTGCTTCATTGAAACGAGGGTGCATCCCAGACTTTTGGCGTCAAAGTGTACCGTTTCAATACAGTAACGACTATGCAAGAAGACCTTTCTTTTGATTAAAGAATCAACCTTCTTTCTCTCTTCTTTTGGAAGATATTTCAAAATTCAAACTTGAGCAATCTTAGTGTAACAGCGTTACGAAAAATGTCTTATTTTAATTTTTTTCTGACTTGTCTGAAGAATATCAGGAAACAAACTACTGTAGCATACGTAACTTTTCACGGTGATTTTGGTGCACGATTCATTTTTTGAAAAGCGTCTCATCTTGAGATAGTTAAACGTAACGCTGTTACAAGAAGTTGATGTTCTAAATTACTTTCAGTTCATATTATTCGCCATTAATTTCAATCCCTCAAGTAGTGAATAGGGTGCGATTGTAGTCCATCGTCATATGTACAGTTGACACTACTAACATATAATTAGAAGAGTCACAATAATAATCTATATTTTCTATTGTTTTTTTTAATATTTTTTACTATCATCAAATTTGTCAGCATTAAGTTAAATATATATAGAACCAGTATCAAATTCACTATCAAATTGTGTATACGTTCACTCGTTTGAAGGAAAACGTTATTGACACAAAACGTTGAAAGAATTTCAATTACAATTTGTCTTTTCTCTTCCTTTTCACCCATTTTTTTTGCCAATATATAGTGAATAAGTAGGGAAAGAAGCAATAAGAAAACAATTCCTATCTATTCGAAAGCATTCATTTATATTCCAGTCTACACTCACTTTTTATTATTGTTATTACCGTTATTATCAATCGTCAGTACGTTAACTATACTAAGGTCAGTATTTTTTTTTTGTTTTGGTATGGCGATGACTTATGCTGAAAGAATGAAAAAGTATCGAAAGAAACTAAAGGAAGATAAAGTACGATATGAAGCAATGAAAGAAAAAGCTCGTAATCGTAATAATTCAATAAGAAAAAAATTAACAGGAATAAAGTTAGCTGAATTTCGAGCTAATAATAGAGACCGTCCAAAAAAACTTCGAGAAAACAGAAGAAACAGTTTAGTAAATCAAAGTTCTGTTAGTTCATTCAAGAGGCGTCAATCATTTAGTAAATCATTAAAGAAAGTGAAATCTGCACTTCCGAAATGTGATAAAAAAAAGAAAGCTTTGATTCAACATCTTGCTGAAAATTTTGGTTTGATTCCGAAGCCTAAACATCAACGTACTACGCTTCAAATTTCCGAAAAACTAAAGAATGATGTTCAACATTTTTATTTGAGAGACGATATTTCATATAAACTACCAGGTAAAGAGATACCATCGTAATCAGAGAGAATGATGGAAGTAAAACGACTTATCAGAAACGAATTTTGTTGAATAATTTATGTGAAAACTATGAACCATTTATAGAAGAAAATAGTAATATTAGCATAAGTCGTTCATCTTTTGCTGAATTAAGACCTCCATTTGTTATTCCTAAAGCTGCTTTAGCACACAGAAACTGCTTATGTTTGTACCATGAAAATATTTGCTTACTTTTGAAATCTCTTGATAAACATGTTCGTGGAAATTACTGCTCATCTTTGGAAGAATTCACTGATTGTTTAGTATGTAGTACTGAAAACAAAGAATGTATGTTTGGTCAGTGTGAACTTTGTGGAAGTTTTTTTTATAGATAAAGTTGAAGAAAACGTTGTAGATGGAAATGTTAACATTAGTTGGTCACAATGGGCCAATGAAGATGGTCCTGCAGAAAAAAAAAGAATTTTCAGGAAGTGTTGATGAAGCTGTTGTCTTGTTAAAGTCGAAAATTGACGGTTTTTTGTTTCAGGTATTCGTCAAGAGACAACAATCAAAGCATTTCGAGAAACTGAAAGCAGAAGTTACTGATGAAAAAGTCGTTATGCAGGTTGATTTTACAGAGAATTTTAATATGAAAGAACGAGATGAGATTCAGAAAACTCCTTGGAATACAAAACCATTGAGTATATTTACTGCTTTTGTGTGGTCTCGAAGTAAAACATTTTCGTATGCTTTACCATCGTTAGATGTAACACATGACAAATTTGTTGTTAGTTCTGCTTTGGAAATAATATTGAATCATCTTGAATCAGTTATTCCTAATGTTAAAGAGATAAATTGTTTTTCTGATGGTGCTGCTTCTCAATTTAAACAACGTTTTCATTTTCGAAATTTAGTAAGAATAGCTAATGAACGAAGAATTGATTTAAGTTGGCACTTTTTTGCAACATCTCATGGAAAAGGTGTAGTTGATGGAATAGGAGGTACCGTAAAGCGTCTCGTTTGGTCATCTATATTAGCAAGTGGTGTCTGTCGTTCAGCTGAAGACTTCATTAAGTTGCCAATGAAAGAGACCAACAAAATAGTTCTTATAGAGATAAAAATCAGTGATATTAATACATCAAAGGCTAAACTTGAAAGTATTTTTAAAGCAGTTAAAACTGTTTCAGAAACACAAAAAGTGCATTCGGTCAAAGTAATCGATAACAACACATTGGAGTTACGGTATTATTCTACATGTTCTCAGAAAAAAAACATGAAATATTGATAGTACAAGTTTTGAAATTTTAGGCTTTTCGATTTTAGTTTTTTTGTGCTGATTTAGTCGATATTTTACTGATTCATACTTGAAGAAAAATAATAGGAAAGATTCGATTAGTAAGAAAAAATACAAAAAAAAACAGTTCGACTGAGGCCGGGTCTACATCCCGAGCTGGAGAAACACTATTATTTAAGGTGATGCTTACTTAAATTATAGTGGCCAAGAGCCTCGAAGTATGTTTAGACTCAATTGTATGAGTGGAACCGTATCGAAAAGAAAGTGATCTTTCTTATGGAGATGTCAAAGCTTTTGGAAAAAGTGTATTTATTTTGTACTGCTTAAGCGCATATAAACCTCGTTTTCGATGTTCAAACAACAAATTCTAAGCAATCTAGCTCTGATTAAACGTTGATGTGAATTTTCAAAAAAATATCGTAACAGCGTTACGTTGGTTTTTTGCCTTTTTTAAAGGACAGAAAGTAATTACAGAAATTTTTTTTTACCATTCGAAAGTTCATTTAATGATCTACAAAACTTATCCAATGATCTTTTCATTTGGAGCTAAAGCTTCGCAGGAAATCAAAACAGAAACGAATGCACTCACATATTAGGGTCCTTTTATGTAACAGCGTTACGGCACCAAAAAAACTTTCCAGAAGTTCGAAAGTTCAACTGATGATACTCATTGTTTTATCATATATGCAGCAAGTCAAGCTGCATCGAATGACGTTTGAACGAGCTCTCCAGCTACTATGGTTTCCGAGATAATCGAAAAACATTGCATAAAAAACGTAACAACGTTACGTTTGGACAAGCCGCTGTATTTTAGAATCTATGTTAGAAACAAATAAACAGACTTTTTCTTATCTGAAAAGAAGAAAATTATGCATTTGGATTTTTTTTTTACTTTTGTTCGTATCTGTTTTACATGATGAATGCGTCAAGAGTAGCAGCATATATGTGTAAAGAACTACTTATATGAGAATGATAAGGAATAAGAGAAAAGTGCATTAAAAAATATGATGAAGCAAATTTTTATATTTAAAAAAACAACCTCTAAGACTTCAGTCCTTCCAAAGTGTCACTTGTTGCTCAAAAAATATCAGAGATACGAAGCATGTTTATATTGATGACGAAGTTTTAATTAAAATGAGTATGTATATGTTAAAATTTAAGAACGCTTGAATTGCAGATGAGATTTTCTTTTTACTGTTCTGATATTTGTGTCTTTAAACAGATCTGAACACAGAAATTATTATTAAGACTTTAAATATGAGGTATAGGGTATGAATCGGCAGAGATCGAATTTATGAGGTCTGCATGAAGGAAAGATCCACACACACACTTTGATAAGGATATATTCTAGGTGAACAACGACAAACAAGCCGATTGGATTGGGCCGAATCATCGTGCATGAGATGGATACAGATACCACTATTGTCATGGATAACACCTATTATTTCTTTGGGTAATAAACGTACACTTGTAGAGAACGATCTAAATGATCTTTCTGTCAATGATAAATGTTCAGCCCTGTTGAACAGAGTGAATCAATATAGTTCCAAATGGCAAGGTACATGGGTTTTATTCATAAGAACATTTTATAAAGATTTTTTAATGAGTATTTTACTTGTTTTTCCACTAATTATGGCTCGTATTGCACAGCCATTGCTTATTCATCAAATTATTCTCTACATTAAAGGTCAATCGAAATTACCTGATTATGCTGGTTATCTATTTGCTGTTGGTCTTTGCATTTCTGCAATTGTACAAGCCATTATCAGTCAACAAATTTTCTTTCGAAATACACGTATAGGGATGCGAGTTCGCATGGTATTATCATCGATTATCTATAAGCACCTATTGACCATTAATACTGCAGCTGTACACAATACTACTGTGGCTCAGACAATTAATTTAGTAGCAAATGATGCTGGTAAATTTGAAGAATTAAGTGTTTTAGTGCATCTTTTAGTTCTAGTACCACTGGAAGCATTGGTAACGTTTGGTTTCTTATGGTGGAATATTGGTTTACCCACATCATTCGGCTATGCAGTACTAATTTTATTAGTACCTATACAGCTTATTTTCAGTAGACAATTCAGCCGATTCCGAAAGACTACAATGGTATGTACAGACAAGCGTGTGCAAACGATTAATGAACTAGTTAGCGGATGCCAAATAATTAAAATGTACAATTGGGAAAAAGCCATGGAGCAACGTGTACGTGAAACACGTCAACATGAACTTTCAATCATTTACAAAGCAAGCTATTTGAGAACTCTTAATATTGCTCTTTCCTTCGCAACATTACCTTTGATTGCTTTTGCTACATTCGGTGGTAGTTGGCTAATTGGCCAAACTTTGCTTCCTGAAAAAGTATTTGCAACACTAGCCTTCTTCGTCATGATTCGAGTTCCAATAACCGTTACGATGCCGCAAGCGATCGAAAGATTTAGTGAAGCTCGTGTTTCTGCAAGAAGAATTGATCAATTTATGCAACTCGACATATTATTGAGTCAACGTAAAACAGTGAAAAATGAAAATGAAGATCATGCAATCATAATGGAAGATGCATCATTTTCTTGGAAAGAAACTTCTTCTTTGTTCTCTCTCAATCTCAAAATTAAAAGTGGTAGCTTAGTTGGAGTGAAAGGTGCCATCGGTGCTGGCAAATCAACACTACTAACTGCTATTCTCGGTGAGATTAATCTTGTCAGTGGAAAACTACAACTATATGTTAATTCAATTTCGTATGTTCCACAATCAGCATGGATATTTGCTGATACTATTCGAGCTAATATTCTTCTTGGCAAACCAATGGATGAAGAACGTTACAAGAATGTAATAAAAGCATGTTGTCTTGATATTGATCTACAAAATTTTGGTACAGTCGGTGATTTATTGATGATTGGTGATAAAGGTGTCAATTTAAGTGGAGGACAAAAGGCTCGAATATCACTCGCTCGTGCACTTTATACTGATGCTGACTTATATTTATTCGATGATCCACTTGCTGCCGTTGATCCAAAGGTGGCAAAGAATATTTTTGATCAATGCATTGGTCCTTATAGTCTCCTTCGTGGAAAGACTCGAATATTGGTTACACATCAAACTCATTTTTTAGTTGAAACAGATCAAATGATCATCATGACAAATGGTCACATCGATACATTTTCTGTTGAACAACGAAGTGCAATTGAGCTAAAAAATGATACATCAGAAGAAACAGATTCATCTAACGATAATGAAACAGATTGGACCGTGAATACTTCTATAATTGATATGAATTCAATTGTAAAATGTGAGACATCAGTCGACGGTGCCATCAAATGGAATGTTTGGCTCAAGTTGTTTACTTCGCCACCCTTACGTTGGTTTGGCTTCTTTCTTATGATTATTTTTATGCTTACTAATGAAGCTCTGTACGATTTTACAAATCGCTGGCTGGCTCTGTGGTCTGGTAAAAATAAAAACGAACAACAATCATTATTTTATATTTACATCTATCTTGGAAGCGTACTTTCTATATTAATCGTTGCATTAATACGTGTCGGCATCATCTTCTATATTATGCTGCATGGTTCGACCTATTTTCATAATCAAATGCTCAAAGGTATCTTGCATACTTCGTTACGTTTCTTTGAAAGTAATCCAAGTGGACGAATATTGAATCGAGCGAGTAAAGATCAACAAATATTAGATGAATCGTTACCTCTAGCTTTAATTGATACTATGCAATATTTACTAATGACTCTTGGTTCTATTACAATCATTGGAATGACTAACCCATGGGTACTTTTAATTCTCATTCCTTTGATTCCTTCAGTTTTGTGGCTTCGTCAATTTTACATTCGTTCAAGTCGCCAACTCAAACGATTTGAAAGTGCAACGCGTAGCCCTATTTATACATTGTTTTCATCTTCATTAGACGGACTCACTAGTATTCGTGCGTTTAGAGTTCAAGAGGGTTTTTTAAATATGTTCATGGAAAGAATCGATACAAATTCAAGAGCTTTCTTCACTTTCTTTGCCACTACATTTTGGTTTGGTTTACGTCTTGATATTATGATATCCTTACTCACTTTTGTTACTGCTACTCTTTCAGTAGTATTACGCCATCAAATAGACCCATCGACAGCAGCACTTAGTATCAGCTATTGTATCACTTTAACAGGTCTCTTTCAATGGGGTATACGGCAATCAGCTGCAGCTGAAAATTTCATGACCAGTGCAGAACGTATTCATGAATATGGTCAACTAATTCCCGAAAGCCATCGAAACAATAATGAAAATGATTTTCTCATTCAACCAGTAAATGATTGGCCCTCTCGTGGTATTATTGAATTTAAAGATTACACTTTCCGCTATCGACAAGAGCTTGATCCTGTACTTAAAAATCTTAATCTACGAATAGAGTCGAAGGAAAAGATTGGAGTTATCGGTAGAACAGGTATGATTACTTCATTGAGGATAATATCTATGGAGAGAATTCTTCATAATGAGATAAGAAATCGGTCGAAAACAGATAGATATAGATAGAAGAATTGTGACCATATGTCCTCATTTGTGAATATGACTATAGCTTGTAACGGGGGCTACATCACTATGATTAGTAATGGAAAGAAATGGTAGAATATAGTAGGCACCCAGACAACAAAATCTTTTTTCTTGAGCTCTCTTTTTCTCAGTAACATTACACGCAATGAAAGGTGAATAGTATCCCATATTAAAACACATTAATCGCGCTACAAGATTCATATTTTCTTGGTATTAAAAATCTTTCACTCAACTCTTTCTTTTCAAATTGTAATCGCTTCATACAACGAACATGATATGTACTCCCTATGCTTCTCAAGAATACAGAAGTCGATAGTATCCAATTCTTACTATGCGTAACTTGAGATATGAGTCTGATTCTATCAGTAATGGATTTCGAATTTTTAATTAAAGCGATCCGTTGATAAGGAACTATATTTTCAGAACGAAGAACTTCATTAGTTATCGCGCCTAGTTCTTATCAATGAGGTCTTTTCAGGAAATGGTATAAAATAAAGTTTCAAGATTTTATGAAGAATACTTTACTGTGTTCATCTATGATGCACAGTGTATTCCTAGAGACTGTGCAGTATTAGAATGTATGATTACTCTATTGACGACATTTGTTTATTGGAATCAATTTTTTATATAGGTGCCGGAAAGTCATCACTTCTTCAAGCTCTCTTTCGACTTGTTGATCAATCAACAATCAGTGGAAACATTCTCATCGACGATATCGATATTGGACATCTTTCACTTGATTATCTTCGTTCTCATTTAAGTGTTATTCCACAAGTACCCATACTATTCTGTGGTACACTTCGATACAATATTGATCCATTTAAACAATTTTCAGATGAAGAATGTCTTCAAGCACTTGAAGCCGTTCAACTCAAACAATTGGTGCGCAACCACCCTGATGGACTGCACCTACTAGTAGCTGAAATGGGTACTAATTTGAGTGCTGGCGAACGTCAACTAATTTGTGTAGCTCGAGCCATTTTGAAGAAGAGCCGCATATTATTGGTTGATGAGGCTACAGCAAATGTTGACCATGCTACCGATAGGATAATTCAAGACGTACTTGCTGACAAGTTTCATGATTGCACAATATTAACGATTGCACATCGATTGAATACAGTAGTCAATAGTGATCGTATTCTCATGTTACAACAAGGAGAGGTTGCCTACTTCGATGTGACTAATAATATCAGTCTAAATTAATGTAATCACGAAAGCATATGTCGTTCTAATCGGTGAATATCATTGGTAATTGTTTTGATTCAGAATTTCTCAATCGCTATCTTAGTCTGTAAGCATTGGTATCATTCTTTTGTTATTTAAAGTATCAAAAATTGAGAATATTAAGACTATCTCATTTCTACGAATTAAGAGAATAGGGGTATGGGTGTGGGTGTGTTTATATTTGAGTATTAATAATAGCTAGCAAGTCCGGTTTTGATAAGTGCTAAAATTAAACCTATCAATTGCATTTGATTATAAATTCTCCTACTATGTTAAACTAATGTCAAAAATGTGTGCGTGTGGGTGTGGGTCGGTGTATGTGTGTGGTGTGTGGTTGTGGTGTGTGGTTGTGGATGGGTGGGGTGTATTACCCACGCAGACAGATAAACGCCAAAACGCCGTTTTGACGTGTTGAAGGTTAGAATAGAAGAAAACCACGCTTTATAACGCGTTGACTGAACACATGAAAGAAATAACCGCGTTTCAACGCGTTTAACTTTTTGTTGACGCATTTTAACGGGTTGAAAGATCATGAGAGGGCAAGTAATGCGTTTTAACTTGAATAAAGCGAAAGCTTTTCACGAAATTATCTATTTCTCCTATCCTTTTGGTGATAGCGCCAACCAGTAGCATCGAACTTCTTTGTTTCGTTGTTACTACAAGACAAAGAGCAACACTGATAACTATTCAGTAATTCCTATTGTTCCTTATTCGATCGATACATATCATTCTATTTATTCCCAAGCATATAAGTTTATAAAAAAGAGTTTTAATTAAATATTCTATAATACATGTAGGGATCCGTTTTTTTTATTTACTCGATTCTCTGATTAAATTTATTTTTCGTGCGCTAATTTTCTCAAGAATAACTCAGTCAGGTAAGTTCAAAAAAATCTCTTTTTCAAAATCAAAAATATTATTTTGATCACAAAAATCACAGAAGGTTCACATATTTTCTTTCACTCTTTCTTAGTTAGATCCCTATTCTTGTCGAAATAATTATATATCATTTCAAAAATAAAAGTATCCACCGACTAAAATGTAATTCAAATTATTCGAGGAAAAAAAATAATATTCATCACAAATTTTAATATGAATCTGTCAAATCTACATCAAAAAGCTCGCTACTACAAAAATAGTAAACATAAGAATAATTCAGGATATGGATAAAAATATTAAAAAATTGTTCAGTCGTTTCGTTATTAACCCTTAAAAGCCCGAAGGCTTTATCGTCAAAAATTGAAAATTCTAACCACTAAAATAGAAGTTCTAAGACCCTAATACGAATTATTTATAGTAAGAAAAAGAAAATTTTTTTTTGTTGTGGAGGTATAGAATGTCCCTTGTAAGGGACATTGGGTCTTAACGGTCCAAAATTTTTCACTTTTCTGAATGTATGCCAAGAAAATATTTTAAGGTAAATAAATTTATTTATTTTGTTGTCAACACAATAAATTAATAGAAACTAATGTTTTCAATTACTTTTTCACAAAAAGGAAAAATCAAGATACATATTTTCTATGAAGAACATTCATGTCTAAAGTAAAATAATTTATTTCCGAGTATGATATTGAATAAAACAATTTTTACTCGAATTAAGGCATAAGTGAACATTGCACTTGGAGCATTGCCAGTATGTTTTTCCTGAACAGTTTTCGTTCTTACACCGAGTATTGTTTAAAGCAGAAATAAATAAAGGCCAATGATTCAAATTATCATACCGTATAACATCTTCTACATTGAACCTGGATTCGCGTAATTTTTTGGTTGGTGGTTCATCTTCTTCATCACTTTGATTAACATCAAGTGCGGCGTTAACAGAAGTTGTTGCTAACATTTGAATCATTGGTTTTCGTAGTAAAAATTTTGCTATTTCAGATTTGAAGTAAAATAATCTAAATGATCCATGACTTGTTGAATCATAACTATTATCACCACGAAGACGAGATTTCATAATAATCCAGGAATTAATAACCATCACGTCGAAAATTCTCCATATTATTCTGGAATACCACCGTTTGGATCTGAATGGGATGGGGTGTAATGCTATCATCATATCCATGGTGTCGACCCCACCCATAAACTTATTATATTGAGTTATAATTTGAGTGATACAATATCAACTTTAAGTTTTTTCTCTTTATCCCAACGTTTTAATGTTGTTTTTGGTTCTATACCTACGTGGTTAGAACCTAATAATACTCTTTTTGAGTCTTTCCAGGCTACCACAATACATGTTTGATCATCAGATGTAAAAAATTCATAATAGCCTCTCTTCTTTTGTTCAAAGTCTTTCTCTGTTGATATTGGACATTTTTCTGTTCGATTTGATCGTAATGTACAAGTCACTCTATAACCAAGTTGAGTTAATTTTTTTATTAATTTAGTTGATGCAAAATAATTATCTATAAATATTGAAGAACCAACAGGAACATTTTTGACTAAATCTAATACAACTAATCCTGAAGAACCAAATTGCTTCTGAAGTTTTTCACGTTGTGTATCAATTAGTTTAGTAATATTCAAGTCTGATGTTGTTGCTAATCGAGTTGAAGTACGTTTTAATGATAAATCAGGTAAATTTAATTCATTAGATGTAACTTTTGATGTGCCATGATGCAATATCATTTCGTAGACAAAAGCTGAAACTCCACATCTTGTCCAGACTTTAAATCCTCTCTTTGTTGGTTTCTTCGGCATATATTGTCTAAAAGATGTGGGTGCTGTTGTTCCCTTGTAGCGTTTTCAACGAATAGATGATAACTTTGGACCGTTATGACCCAATGTCCCTTCCAAGGAACATTTTGTTTAAGAAGTCACAATGCAACAATAGATCAATGAAAACATTGTGGAATGCTTTTCTACGATAGTTTAACGATGTACCTCGCGATACCACTTAAAAAGATAGACTTTCTTCTCGTATTCATCGACAAGAAGATGTTTCAAAATGAAAAATTGAAATTTAAAATATCAAAAGTCTTTAAAACCGTATTTTTTCCTCTGATAATTACTCAGATTTCTTTTTCCGCTTTTTTTAATGAGCCACAAGGTCATTTAAATCGAAGAAAACAAAGAATATTGTATATATAGCATTATTCATGTTTTATTGAAATTTTTGCGATGTCCCTTGGAAGGGACATTGGGCTTTAAAGGGTTAACTTCCCCTTTGATAGAAATGCTTTGATCTCTTAGTGACTTTTGCCATCGAAATGATATATATATATATATGTTGTGGTCAAAATTAAAATTTTTTGATGAAAAGAAAAAGGTAAAGAAAAACCAAAAGCCAAAGTAGCGACAACTTTTTGATTTCAAAAAAATTATTAACAAATATTATATGAGTGTG